CATCAAGTTTTCATCCACTTCTTAAGCTTAATCATTCATATAAACAATAAAAAATCCAAAGACAATGCGAGGAAAGGGTAAAGTTCTATCAATCTTTATCTACGCAATTTTACTCCTCTACTCAAGCAATTATTCCTCTTTCCCGATAATATTTCTTTCAATAACTTAGTATATTTCAGAATCTTCATAAACATGTCTAAGAAAGGGAACGTTACTTTCAATTGCTTAAAGGTATCCTTCCATGAAGCACATTCATGATATAGATCACTTTCGAATAATCGTCTAAGATAAGGAGCTTTTCATGTTGGATCGGGTGCTTGAATCTTCTTAGATTATCCTCACCTTGAATCTTGATTTCGGCTGTAGGTTGCACTTCTTCTTGAACTAACTCTTTTTCTTGAACAACTTCACGTTGAACCTCTCTTACCGGTATCCTCGGTGTTGATATAGGAGTCTCCTTAAAAGGTCGGCCACTCCTCAGAGTTACCGCATGACATTCCTCCTTAGGATTATGCTTGGTATTGCCCGGTAAAGTTCCTTGTGGTCTTGACAATAGAGCTTGTGCCAACGAGCTTAGTTGGGCTTCAAGATTTTGAAGTGAAGCTTATTGATTCCTTTGTGACCCGCTTCCAAACTTGAGATTTTAGCTGTAGTGTTCTCTATGATTTTTCCATAGCCTCAAACTTCTTGTTCGAGTGTGTAAAGAACTGGACTACCAAGTCTTCAAGTTTTAGAAAATTGACCACATGGTCGACTTTGTTCTTGGTATGCTTCTTGGTACGAGGGTTGGATCGGTCTTGGGTAAGCGTTTTGAATAGGAGCTTGTGCTTGACACTCCGGAGGCTTTCTTTCCGTCGGAGAAGACCAAATAAAGTTAGTATGGTTCCTCCAACCCGGGTTATATGTAGAGCAATAAGGATTGTTTCCTCGGGATTGCCCTCCAAAAAAGTTGGCTTGCTCAAATTGTATTGAGGCCTCAATCATAGACTTAAACTCCTCCATAATGTGACTTGAGTCACCACACCAATCACATTTCATGACTTGTTTTCCATTGCCTTTCAATGATGATGCAACTTGATCAATTTTCTTGAAAAGTTCTTTTATATGACCTCTATTGTAACACCCCATCCTAAAATCATGGATCAAACCGATGGTTCAACCGCTTAGCGGAAATCATTCGGGGTTTACGTTTTGAAAATCTCGACTCAAATCACATCCACAAAATTAGAATAGGTTTAAACCTCAATTTGATATATATCATTTATCCAAATTTCCACATACCACTAATAAACACTTATTCAATTCACAAATCATCTTTGTCAAGTCCGGGATTTACAAAATCCCAACTATTAATCTCATCTACTCCATTTATACTCAAGTTAATGATCATACTTGACCAATGTAAACTATCATGCATGCTCAAAACTCGAATTGTAAAATAATAATTCCAGAATACATCAATAGGTGAAAAATCTTTTAAATTAAAATCCTCCATCTATATTTTTCTTTCTTTCCAGACTCGAAATCGGTTGTCGGATTTTATTATCTTTTGTTTCTTTTTTGGATTGTGCACATGGAACTATAGTCTGTTTTCTCTATCACCCAGTGTGTTTTGATGACTCTAGCTCTGTGCCTTTGGATTGGTCCCCTTCCAGTCGCCGCCTTCGATCTTTATTTCCCGGTAACAATAGAACGATCAATAATTGTATGCTCATATAGTAGTATTGGGTTCACTTAGGCCTAGCTTCTTAAAAAATTTATAAGACATGACATTTATGCTAGTTCCTAAGTCCGCCAAGGACTTTCTTACATGCATGCTACCAATAATGCAAGGATAGTAAAACTCATCGGGTCTTTTCTCTTCTCTAGTAGCATGTTCTGCACGATGGCAAAACATTCTTCATTCAACATCATTGTCGACAGCTCCCCAAGGTTCCTTTTATTGGTGAGGAGATCCTTCATGAATTTGGCGTACTTGAGAATCTTCTACAGTGCCTACATGAATGGCAGACTAATGTTCACCTACTTCAGCATTGCCATGAATTTGGCAAACTAGGTCTCTAACCTATACTTGTGCAGGCGAGTGTCGGATGGAAGTTGAGGGACATACTCCTTTGCCATTGGTTATGGTTTTGGAGCAGGCGCCTCATCCTCCTTTGCTTCTTCTTTTTCAGTAGCCAGAATATGGAGCGAGGATATCTGGCTCCTCCCGAATTCCACGATTTAAATCCCGACTAGAGCACAAGTATAAACCCTAGTCGGGTTTAGTATAGAGCAAGTATTTAAATGTCAAACCCGGGGCCGGTCCATGTACCCCTACTTTGATTGTTTGAAACATTATTTAGCAATCGATTTTTGGTTATAACTATGGGCTATGATTAAAAGCAATAGGAAAGGTAAATGGTTATAAACACTAATTGAGAAGGCTTCACCCGGGTGTTGCTCCCCTAGCTAGTTATCAAAATTGGTTGACCTGAATGCAAGTGTGTGGTAAAGCAGTTATAAACCGTAGGTAAGCGCAACAAGTGAAGAATCTTCACTCTCTCGGTCATTAGGCTAGGGGATATCAAATCAAGCTACCAAGTTACCTCTCTTGGCCAATCGACTAAGGGTTGCCTAGGCTTCTCTCTCTAACCATAGTCCGGATGGCCACAATACAACCTACCCAAGGTGCTAAAACGTAGTATGAGGTTTGCCCTAATTCAGCCTAAGTAGGTGGCTCAATTTGACCAAGGAATTACAGCTTTTGAAAGCCTCTTAGCAAGAGGGGGTTTCCATCTACCTAGTTCAAATTGACATAAGAGTTGGAAATGGAAAATACAATACAACCTTCATGAAAATACCTCAATACTGGCATCAAAACACAACCACACACAAATCATTCAATTCATACAAACAATCAAATGTTTCTAGCTAGGGTTTACAAACACCCAAATGAAAGAAGAGAACTACTCCATGCTAAGACTAAGGAATACACAAAGGAGAAGAAAAATGACCATCTTGAGATGTTTTCCTTCTTCCTTTGGTGTGGAGATAAACCTTGGAGGATGAGACTCCCAAACTTGGGGCGGATGAAATCCTAAGCTTCTTCTCCTCTCTTGTTCGTCTCTTTCTCTCTCTATAAATGTGAGTAAGAAGAAGTTCTCTCACTATGCTCTCTTCTCTTCTTTCAGCTCAACTCCCCTTTTATACGCAGATCGACGACTTTTCACAGTCCCAGTTCACGGCCGTGAACTCCCAGTTCACAAAAATACACCGTTTCGCTTAAACTCTTCACAGTTTGGAGGGAATTTTCACAATCGAGTGACCGTGATTTCATTTAGGCCCATGAGGCACACGAAATGTTCTGGTTCCTCTGCACTTCACGATCTGGCTCCATTATCACGGTCTGGCTGACCATGAAAACTAAGCTTACACCATGATCCTTAGCTGCTTCCTCCCTTCGATCCATTTTTGCCTCTTTTCGTCCAACTTTCGTTCCCGATGTCGATTCCACCTGCTAGGATTTGAAACACACTAGAAACAAGCACAACCTAGCGTAAAACCGAACCTCACGGAGTGAAAATGCCTCAAACATCTAAAGAATATGAGGGTAAAATGTGTGCAATTGGCTCCGAATCAATATCAGTAGTGTTCTTCCCGCTCCTGAGGGAAATGATCTTATAGTGGGCCGATGGATCTCTGGAATTTGGAATGGTGTTGGCCGGCAGAGTACCTTGAGGCCTGTTGGCCACAAACTAGGCCACATTCCCAATATGAGTTTGGAGATCCTACATTATAGCTTACTGCTGTCGCTGGCAACTTTGAGATCCGTGAACTTCCCCACTGGTAGTTCCATGAACTGGTCCATCTTATTGATTTTATGGGCACTAGTTCCCATGAAGTTATTCACTAGGTCATCCAGTTTGGACATCTTGCCTTGCGATTGTTGAGCTGGTGATCATGTGTTCGTAGGGTGCTCCAATCAGCTCCCCAATGATTGTTCTACGTCACTAGCTCTCTCCTTTGCTCTCTAGGTTCGTTCCCCTTCTCTTTTTTCGAGACTGTCTTTTGTTTCCCTGAAGATTCGCGAGTTACGGCCTAAGTCATGATAGAACTTGCCCAATCTGCCCGTGACTCTCCAAGCGACGTCGTCCCTTCAGTCCATAAACTAGGAGTTACAGTTGGTTGCTAGTAGTCACGGACATGACCGTGACTTGAAGGATCTGCCCGTGACTTGCATTCGTAGCTTTTGTTATCCCGTCTTTGAGTCACGGGCTGACAGGGGATGTCACGGCTTGCAGGGCGGAGCTACAGCTGGGCTCGCGCCCCCCACCCCGGGAGCTTTGGAAGTTATGTGTAAACTATTTGGGAGGTTTGAAAATTTTATATAAACTAAAAGTAAACTACAAAATGTTTTAGCGTGCACAATACAATCAAACTATAAACACAAATAGAGTCTCTGATATATCCATCAGATCCAGGGTTCAGTTGTTGCCAGTGATATTTATTTTTTAAAGGGTATTATGATATTTTTGAATGATCATCCATTTCCGTTGCAAAAAGATCATACATATGTCATTATATATTGTTAAAGTTTTTAAATAATTTCAAACTAACTCACTCGCTTATTGATGAGTTGGTGTAATTATGGCCCATCATTCATCTACATTCTTCTTCGAGTTGGATGGATGGGTGTGATTGAATTGTGATTTAATCAGCAAAATCAATTCTTTGATAAGTCATTAGACAATTGACTAACATTAATAAATTTCTCTTAAATTAGGATGACTATCAATTTAGACACCTCTCAACCGAATAGTTGCTTACTCATACCAACTTTAATTAACCGCCCATTCTCTTCTTTACTCTAAATTTTGGCTATCCACTCCAGTAGCTAAAATGGAAACTTTGCTGAACCCACCAGAAAACTGAAAAAATTAAAAAAAAATGCCGAAGAAGGGAAGAATTATTGGCAATATTGAGGAAGGCATATTCGGGTTGGCATTGACCATGTCTCACGAGTAGCCCCGAAAGAGTAGCGGACCACTCGGAGGCAGGCGAAGGCCATGTTTCCCCGACGCAGGCGCTTCTTTTCTCTTCTCTGTTTACCATAGCGTTGAAAATTCCGCTGACAATTAAAATTTTCCCCAAACCAGAAAACAAAAAGAAGCAATAAACTAATAACATAATCATAGACAAAAAAAAAGAAGAATCGAAATCCCCTTTGGACGTATTGCCAAGGCGGAAGTTAGCTTTACTCGACGGGCAGTTTTGACAATTCGCTCCCGTTATTGGACAGCTTTACAACTCCTCCCTCCCAGCGACGGAGCCCGCCAATTGGATCTCGTCCTCTCCACGCTACTTCTTCCATTCCATACTCTGGTGGTGTTTGGGTAAGCTCTTTCTTCCTCCGGTACAGTACAGATTTGGCATTTCCGGTCCTTTTTTCTTTGCCTTCCAGTTTATCGCTGGATATTCAGGAACTAATCTATATTTGTGTGTTCAATTCCCTCAGCGAAACATAAGATTCGTCGGATCTCGAATTGAATTCATCGCCGATCATTATGATGGAGAGGGCAGAGTCGGGGCAGAAACTGTACACGCGCCTGCGACTCTGGGAATTCCCTGATCAGTATGTGATTGAACCAACTGACGGATCTGCCGGTGCTCCCTTGGCCATCAGTCGGAAAGATGGCTCCATGTCCCTCATCGGTACGGTAACTTGCTTCTTCTTTTTTCTTTCGTCGGACGGACGGACTGACTGACTGATTTCCGAGCATTCCTCTGCAGACCAAGTGCCACATTGCAGCTCTGTTCGGGTGCCCAAAATCCAGACTATTTTCGGTGTGGTCGGGCTGCTGAAACTCGTCGTAGGTGAAACTCGTTCTCTTATCATCTCTTCATTTTATCTTCACTTTGTGTTTGGCTGCGAACTCGCTTGACGTGAGGTTTTTGGCATTAGGGTGGGCGATCTGTCCCCTCCCTGGCGCTTTGAATATATAATATAATCATCCTTCCGATATTGTGCTTCTGTTCATCTTGGATTATTTATTCATCAGCCACTTCAGTTCATACTTGATAGTGTGAATGAATTGAGATGTTCCTTGGAGTTTTACTCGAGTTTATATCCAATGAAGGCTGAGAGAGGGAGAGATTCTGACCAATCGGCTTCTTAGATGTTTGACGCTATTGTAATTATTAACTGCAGGGTCATACTTGATAGTCATTAAAGATCGTGAATGCGTTGGATCCTACATGGGAAATCAGATCTTCAAAGTTACTTCTTTGAAGGTTTTCCCTTGTGATCATTCCCTGAAAAGTACTACTACTGAACAGGTAAGTCTTCTGCTGCTGCGACCTCTTATTTTCCATTTCCACATTGATTGGAGATTTTAACTGCTTCATACTCACTTTTGCAGAAGAAGGTAGAATCTGAATTCTCTGCCCTGCTTAGCGTTGCGGAGAAGACTCCTGGTCTGTATTTCTCATATGAGGCAAATTTAACACTAAGGTGATGAGTTGTTCCCAATTTAGTTCGACTCTTGTCATGTAGGGTACTTTCCATTTTTTAATGCTTGGAGGAGAGTTATACATACTGGTATGCTTCAGTTTCCCATCGCAAAATATGTTTTGAGGGTAGTATTAGCTGAAGTTATCCTGAAGCAACCACTAGCGCCGAGACATTTCATTGATACTTGAACCTGCTCTATCCAAAGAAGAGCACTGTTAAATGTTAATTCAAATGTGAATATGTGTAGATTTGCACGATACTCGAAACAAAAGTTTGTTTCTGGGTTGATTTATATTCAAACCTAGCATCATTCATGTAATATCGTTCCTCTTGGTTCAGTGCACAGCGATTGCATGATCTAGGTGATGAGTCGAAGTTGCTTCCTCTGTGGAGACAGGTGAGCCTTGTAACTATTAGTATAGAAGCTTGGGAATGTGCTCTCTGTTTATTTCCCTACTACATCCTCTCCCTCTAATTCTCTGCTAAATGTCAATTATTCTTTCACATTCATGTTTTTCATCATAGTCTCTCTGTGGTTGTGAGTAAATCCAATGTTCCCTCATGCTTTTAGACTTTTGCAACAGGCAGAACCAAGGTTCCTGTGGAACAATTACATGATGGAAGTCCTCATTGATAACAAGGTTGAATTCAAAAAGTTGATTGACTTGCGTGTTTAGTTTCTTTTCTCCCTTTTTGACCCTCAGTTTGGTGTTTTGTGATAAACGTGTTAACATTTTATCCGATGATTTCGTTTGCAGCTTGACCCATATCTACTTCCAGTTATCCAAGGGAGTATCCTTGATTTTTGCTTAATGTGTTACTTTGAAATGCTTTTAATTTTAAGTTATTCCAGGCTAATAATTACTGGCCAACACACCTATGTTCGAGTTTATCCTTAACTGATGCTCAGGCTTTCAGAACTTCCAAGCAGCCATTGGAAAAGAAATAGTTGAAGTCACATTGATTGCAAGGAGATGCACAAGGAGAAATGGTTATAAGCCATCCATCTGTTAAATTTGTGTGCTCTCACCTTATCTTTGTTGTTTCATTTACTACATTCGAAACTGAATTCAATTGGTTAAGAATGCAAAAAAAATGTAGTGAAGTACTGCAATGCACTTGTGTTGTTTCTTTTTATTAGTAATATGGGCTAACTTTAGGGAAAAAGGATAATGTCAATGTCTTTTGGGGACTTGAAGCATTTAACTCTTCTAGTATGACATACATTAGATTGTTTCTATCACATGGGCAAATCTTAATTGATCTACTGTTTCTCTTTGAAGGCACTCGGATGTGGAGACGGGGAGCTGACCCTGATGGATATGTTGCTAATTTTGTGGAGTCTGAACAAATCGTCCAGATGAATGGATTTACAGCAGCATGTGTCCAGGTATCCTTTAGTACTTGATGAATTGTGATTTTTTTCCTTATTCAATTAGGTATTTGAACATCGCTAGAATGGGTTAATGGTGCTTGGCATTGGTTATTGAGTGGAAGAATGAGTATGAACTCTTTATGGTTATTAATAGCATGAGTCCCAGCTCCAGTGATGCATTCTGATTTTTTTTAATATAAGGCTTCTATCAAAATTCATGTTCCTCTCTTCAATTGGCTTCTGCAGATCAGGGGCTCAATGCCCTTCATCTGGGAGCAGATTGTTGACTTGACATACAAGCCTAAGTTTGAAATTATCAAACCCGAGGAAGCAGTAAGTTTTACTGCTCCGATGCAAGCAGTTTTAGTTGGAAAGCTAACTTTCCAACTTTAGACAGACTTACAAATTATTGCTGATTATTCCTTTTGATCAGCCCCGGGTTGCAGAACGACATTTCCTGGATTTGAGAAAAAAATATGGAAGCGTGTTAGCTGTAGATCTTGTCAACACGGTGTGTATTCTCTTTTCAATGAGGGGATTTTGGATTTTTGTTGAGAACTTTTCTGAGCCCTTGAACTTCTGTAATCAGCATGGAGGTGAGGGACGCCTGAGTGAAAAATTTTCGACGGCAGTTCAGCCTGTGATCTGTGACGATGTTAGGTAGAATTTCCTTTCACAAAACCTTGTCTTTATGTTTCACATGCTCATGTCACTGATAATCTCTCTAACATGATTGAATTTCTGTACTGTAGATATGTGCACTTCGATTTCCACCAAATCTGTGGGCATGTTCACTTTGAGCGCCTTTCTATCCTCTATGAACAAATTGTGGATTTCCTGGAGAAGAGCGGGTAGGATAGTTCATTCACAGATCACAAGTCTGTAGATTGCCTCTGATCCTGTTGAGGCCTTGGTGCCATATGAAACCTGGAATTCATGTTGTGTTTAACCTCGTCCTGTGGTTGACAGGTACCTACTGGTGAATGAGAAGGGTGACAAACTGAAGGAGCAAACTGGGATTGTGAGGACGAACTGTATTGATTGCTTAGACCGTACCAATGTTACACAGGTGGGTTAGTTATCCTACTTGTTTAGACTGGAATCAGAATAAGACCATAAATCTATCAGATGCTCCTATTTTTTCACCATTGCATTGAACCCATAGTCTATGACTCTATGTTCTTCTGGTGTTGGCTCCAGTTCATATGCTTATTGAATATTACTAGCAAAGATGAATGACAAGACTACAGGAATCATGTTTCTTCTGATTGAACTACTAGATCTTGTCACCTGTATTGGCTTTTTGTTGTCTTTGGATTATTAATGGTTTTAGGATAATCTTTGTAGAGCATGATAGGGCGAAAAATGTTAGAACTGCAACTTCGAAGAATTGGTGTTTTTGCTGCTGAAGAAACCATAAGCTCGCATGCAAATTTTGATGACAGCTTCAAAATAAGTAAGTCCTTTCGCTTTCTTTACTCCTTAAAGTAAGTATGTCTGTCACATTCCTTATTGGTTTGTTTGTTTCAGTGTGGGCTAATCATGGAGATGATATAAGCATCCAGTACTCAGGCACTCCTGCCTTGAAAGGAGACTTCGTAAGGTATTATGTTTTCTTCCCCTGGAAGCTTCTTGGCTCGGGCTTGCAGGCAATTTTAATCAAATTAATTGGACTCCATACTGGATGTTTACTCAAATGGTATAGGTGTATGCTATGGTTCTGTATTTTCCGAAAGTGAGTGATGCTGATTGTTAGTATATTCCGCCAAATATTTAAAGTCCCAGAAGACAAATCTGGAACTCTATGCTTCTGGTGGAGTCGTTTCAAAATCACGGATCTTTTAGTTTTGAGAGTCCATTGGGCATTTATCGTTTCCATTTCCCTTTTAAGTTCCTTCTTTGGCCTTTTTCTACTGCATAATCCAAACATATGTCATATTGTCCTAACGGGAGGTTGTATTTATTGAAACCTAACCCTGTCACTTTCAATGATTTGCAGGCTTGGGCAGCGTACAACTCAAGGGATCATTAAAGATGGTATCAATGCCCTTGTTCGCTACTATTTGAATAACTTTGCTGATGGCACGAAGCAGGTCGGTGTCCTTCAGTCTTCATTTAATCTAGAATATAAACAGTGACACAAAGATTGTACTGCGTCTCTAAGAAATTGGGTTATCCACTAAGATCTTCTTGGCGTTAATCCCTTGGATAATTTTGGCTGGATGGTATCCAACTAATATTTTCTTGTATGCACAAACACGAAGGACGCAATTGATCTCCTACAAGGACATTACATCGTTTCCGTAAGCCGGGATATGAAAGCTCCGTCTCAAGCCGGAGGACTCGAGAGTGTAGCTGTAAGTCTGTTTTTGTATTTTCATTTGTCTTAATGATATGAGCATTTTTTCTAAGTAACGGCTAGAATGAATGCTAATACGTAAACTGGGGGATTGCTTATCACATCTAACCTTACAATTTTCGGAAGCAGTCTTTCCCACTGGCGTTTGCATTGATCATGTTCGGGTTCTTGTTTGCATTGTTATCACTTAGGCAAGGTGTGTTCCATTTTCTTCTCCTAAACCTCTCATTTCCCCTGGGTGAAAATGTTATAGGGGTCAACTGTGCTGCTAAGCTGAATATATATTTGCTGTTGTTGCTGCAGTTCCATACGATATGAAGCACTTGTTCTTCTCATTGTTGTGGGCAAGCTTTACAGTGGGTATTGCAGCTTTTGTTAGGGCAAATGGGCGGATTTTCTGCAATCGGCCTCGTCTGCACAAGCCTAGACAATGAACCCTTTTAACCTGAGACTCCTAACGCATACAAATTTTATTGTTCAAAGTCAGCAGAGTCCAGCTTTCGATTTCTTGCACTTTCATTAAACACAGTTTTGGATGGGGTTGTTCTGGGTTATAGTTCCGGAGGACTTGGAATTATGAGATTTTTATGTGTTAAAACTCACCTACCTACTTGTTTTTCTCCTTTCATCTCTTTGGACTTTCCTCCTTTCTTCCAGCCCTCTTTGATTACGTTAGATTATCTTTTGTTAAAAAAAGAGAAAAAAATGCTGACAGTAATTTGTTTTTCTAGTTCCTTAGAAAGAAAAAATAAAAATAAAACAATATCTATACACCCTAACCCTAGTATGGACAAACAATAATTTTACCAAAATATCTTGCCAAAATACACTTCTATAGGCATAACTTTCATGTTTGTGACAAATACAGCCATAACTATCCGAAAACACAAATAGCCAATTTCGTCCATCTCTTTGACGGTGTTACTTAACACTCTGACTAGATTGACGGAAATGCTGACCTGGCGATACTTCATCGGACACGTGGATTATAAAAAAAAAACATAAATACAATTTTTTCGAGTTCATAAAATGAAAAATAAAAATAAATATTTTTAATACAAAAAACTTCATCTTTCTCCCTGTACCCCCACCATTGTTCGCCCCCTGCTCCTTCCCAACAACATTTGGGCCTTGTCTCTCACTTTTTCTCATCAATTACCAGCAACACACAATTACCAATCAATTGCCCCCTACTCCCATCAATTACCAGAAGGCAGCAGCCTAGTTATTCTGCTAACTTGAAAATTCGTTAGTATATACTAACTAATATCCAAAATGTATGAACTAATATCCAAGTCTGCTGAATATCTAGATAGCACAGACTAGTATTCTAAACATCACAAACTAGTATCCAGATAGCAGATACCAACTAATATCCATAATTAACCAACTAGTAATCAATATGGATACTATTCTGTGTTGTCTAGATATTAGTTTGTGAATTTGGGATAATAGTTGATTCATGGTGGATATCAGTTAGCAAACTTTGAATACTAGTCTGTGCTCTCTAAATACTTTAGTACTTGGATACTAACTAGTTCATGTATTTTGGATATAAATTAGTATCTGCTAACGAATCTTCAAGTTAGTAGATTAACTTTTCCCGCACGCAGGCAGCAACACACAACCCAAAATCGAAGAAGAAGAAAGCCCTATGATTCTTTTGGGTCCTTTGCCGCCGGCGTCAACATCATCTTCATCCCTCCTTTCCCCTACGATTCCTTACCAACGACGCCATCAAACCACCGGCCGCCCGCTGCCGTGAACAACCGCTCTCCGCAATGGATCCTGCCATGTATGGTTTCCAGATTTGCAGGTGGGGGAATCCAGCGATTTGGTTTCCAGATCTGGTTTCTGAGCAGCTTCAGGAGTCCAAGTCCCTCCACGCGTAGTCCCAACTGACCGACAAGGAAAATCTCCAGATTCCCAAATCAAGCCCGCGCTCCAGCTTCTTGGCGATCTGCTGGGCACGGTTCGGATTGGAGACGTCGCCGCGGGGAGATGGAGGATTGGATTTTCAGATTGGTCATCGTTGCATTGGCCGGGGAGAGGAGGAGGAGGAGAAGAAGAAAGAAGGTTGTCGTTGCGTTGGTCGGGGAGAGGAGGAGGAGAAGTAAGAAGGTCGTCGTTGCGTTGGTCGGGGAGAGGAGGAGGAGAAGAAAGAGCAGGAGGACAATGGGAGATGGCGGTGTGGGTTTCTGCTAGAGTTAGAATGGGCCGGGGAGAATTTGGAAATAAAATTAATTATATTTTTTTATATTAAATTATAACATGTAGCTTATGCTTATGTGTCGTTGACGTGCATGATGACGGAGTTACTAACACCATTAAAGTTTCTAACGGAAATGGATAGATTTGTCACACTACCATCCAATTTTTGGGCTATTTTATTTTTTCCGATAGTTATTGCTATATTTGTCATAAACGTGAAAATTATGGCTATTGAAGTGTATTTTGCCAAATATCTTTGATAAGCCATTACCATTAAATAATTTGAATAATAGCGGAACTGTCGTATTAAATAAAATCAAAGGCATAAAAGTCAACATAATTTGAAATATCTTGGCATAAAAAATACTTATCATAAATCATTTCAAGATTCGTGTTTACAAAAGTATTGCATTATCGGTAGTTCTCTAGAGTCGGAAGTCATTTTGTTGACATGTTTGAGCGCAATTAAGTTCTTGATCGTGAATCTGGTCTCCCAAAAACTTCTGAGTGCGAGTGTGAGGTTAGTTTTATTCTTACTTTCATTTTAATAGTGAACAACTCATAATAAAATGCTTTAATAAATGAATATGCTAATGCAATGCTAGACACATTATATTAACTTTTTATTAAAGGGGATCCCAAACTCAACTTGACTAGTACACCGATCTACACCAATCATAAAATAACATGAAATTGAACTTTCATCTTGATGGAAAGACATAACAAGAATGTGGCTTCCACTTGACAGAAATCATGGTAGCATAAAGTGATTGTTAACTTCCACATGAGGGGAAGTAACATAACATAAACGCGTTTTCCACCTACACGAAGCAAGATAGTCGTATATCCTGTTAGAAACATGGATTTTGGGTGGTTTAGCAATTTGGATTGGTTTGTCGATTTATTTATGTTTTGTGACTTAGGATGTTATTTGGGGGGGGGGGGGGTAATTAGGTTATTTCTATGAGGACGTATGGTTTTAGTTAGTTATAGGGCATTTATGAATCTTTATATTCTGTAGTTTGGAGAATTATTCATCAAGCAATTTCAGAACAATTAAGTCTAAACCTAATCTCACTCCTCTTTCTATTTCGGTCGACCCCTTGACAACACTTAAAATTAGTGTTACTTAGCCCTCATTCCATAGGTGTTTCCATGCAATAAGAATCATTTTTGGCCAGTTAAGATCGATTTCGTCCCGAAATTGCTTCCTATTGTCAAAATTCTAAGATTTAACACGTTTCTATCTTTACTTGGCCATTTTGGCATGAATCTTGTTCATTCTCATCCTTTTCTAGGCTAGGTTGTGTTTTCTTGCTTAATTTCACGTCCTAATATGACAAGGAAGAGGCACACCAAGTTTCGCGCCAATCGAAGGTCGTTTGGGGGGTGAAAAGAAGGTGGAAAACAAGACTTGCCAAAGTTCACTGCCGCGAATTTCTTCCCATGCTCGTGAGCAAGAGGATGTCCACGATTAAGGGTGGCCAACGAGAAACGGGTATTTGGGTATACCCATACCCGTCCCTTTTTTTAGGGTTATGGGTACCCAAATACATGTAATATTTATTATGGGATGAGACTTGAGATTAAGAATTTCAACCTTGGATACCCGCAGGTTACCAGCTAATACCCGTGATTCGGGCCGAAATGTACACATTGTACCCCTCATTTCTTATTCGTTTAGCTTAGTATTTCATCGTTCTTCGACATATTTCACGCTAGGTTGTGCTTGTTTTGATACATTTCAGGTCCTAGCATGTGTGGAAGGACCGAGGACGAGTTTTGGAATAATTGAAGGTCAAAAAGCGCAAAAAAACGAAGAAAAGTCTGAACTCGTAACAGGGAAGTGAAGGCGTCCAGGAAACAGCCGCAGTTCACGGTCGAACAAGGCAATTCACGGTCTCCTAAGACCATGAACATGGACCATAAACCATGAACACCGAGGCGTCCAACGAGGTTCCAGAAGTTATTGACGACAAGGCAGTTCACGGTCTACACTCTTGTGCTTGAATTGAAATCAATAAAAGGGCAAAGGAGAAAAGAGAGTGGCCACCAAAAATATAATAAATGCTGGACATGCTCTTAGAAGTTGTTCTGGGCATGAAAGCTATATAAACACTTACATGTTGTTGACCTCTACACTCTTGTGGTTGAATTGACTAGCAAATGTAGAAAGGAAGTATGTGTGACATGGTTTGGTGATTGGTTGTGTTTTGGAAATGTGGGAAGTGCGGTTTTTGGCCAATGCTAGTGGCCATTGAATGTAGGAGAGGGTTCTAATTGAAACCTCAGAACCTTTTGTGGTTTTAGGATAGAGATGTGGAACCTCATGTTATGTTTGCCACCACCCAAAAAGCCTTTTCCCCATGTCCGAGACCCTAGCCAATCATTTGAACCCATGTCTAAGACCTCCGGACAAACTAGCAACGACTCATCTTGTGAACTCTAACATTTAGAGGTTAGCGTCATGGTAAAGGGATGTTAGGATTGAGTGGGAATATGCACATCTTTTGCATCAAATGGTCCTGACCCTACTGGTCGAGAGTGAGTGATTCATTCATCATGTTTTGTTTATTTCTTTAACCGCGGTGAGGATCTGGGTTGCTCGATCGTTCGTTCCTATGATGTGATCTTCATGCATGAGTAACTGTGATTGTTGAGTCGTCAAGGCATGTTGTGTGTGGGTTCGTGAATAATGTGAGAACTCTTCATTTTCACAATCTTAATATAGTTGAATGTCGTTTGTGATGGTTCCCAAGATTACTTTGTTTTTGTCCTTAGGTTAGTGTCAAATAACCATTGTAATTCATTTGTTTTGTGCCCTATGACATGCCTCAAAAATTTTGTTGAAAAAAAAAGAAGTTGCAAGCTTACCTTGTTTTGTACTTGGTTTGCTTGGGGACAAGCAAACGTCTAAGTGTGGTGGAGTGATTCAGGCCAAAATGTACACATTTTACCCCTCATTTCTTAATCACTTAGCTTAGTATTTCATCGTTCATCGACAAATTTCACGCTAGGTTGTGCTTGTTTTGATACATTTCAGGTCCTAGCATGTGTGGGAGGGTCGAGGACGAGTTTTGGGATAATTCGAGGTCACAAAGCGCAAAAAACCGAAGAAAAGTCCAAACCCGTAACAGTGAAGTGAAGGCGTCCAGGAAATAGCCGCAGTTCACGGTCGGGCAAGGCAGTTCACGGTCTCTTAAGACCGCGAACATAGACCACAAACCGTGAACACCGAGGTGTCCAGCGAGGTTCCAGAAGTTACTGACGACAAGGCAATTCACGGTCTCTAAGACTGTGAACTGGGGCCATTAACTGTGAACCCAGGAGAGTGAAGTGGTGCGTTTTGGACAACACTGAGTTCACGGACGCGTTTAGGTGTTCACGGACATGAAAAACACCAAAGGGGAGTTCTAATGAGAGAAAGAGAGTGCTAGAGTGATCTTGGATCATCATTGGAGGCTTGGGTGGACAAAGATTCAAGCATAGAAAAAGTAAAAGATCTTGATCTCAAATTCGTAATCCCCCCCCCCCCCCTCTCTCTCTAGAAACTCACTCTTTTCTCTTAGGTGTTGTAGATCCCTAAATAATACTTT